ATTTTCCTATTTCCCTCTAACCAAAAGCTTTTGCAATGTGATTATTTCAATTTCTTATATACCAAATTTATATTAATACGTTCAATCTGTATATTCTCTAAGTTTTACATATTAATACCGTGTCCAAAAAAAAAAAAAAAAATACGTATATACAATTTCCTATTTCCCACTAGCCAAAACCTTTTGTAATGAGATTATTTCAATTTCTTATATACCAAATTTATATTAATGCATTCAATCTTTATATTCTCTCAGTTTTACATATTAATAGCGTGTCAAAAAAACAAAACAAAAAAAATAAATAAAAAATAAATAATAACACTAATTCGAACATTTTGGGCGCTTGGCTACATATCAAGGAACACAGTACTTAAGGGGAGTTCAGGGAGAGTCTCATTGCCCTGTTTGTGGTTCCAATAGCGAGTTTACTTCGTATTGCTTTCTTGGATTTTGACTTTTGGCTTAGATTGACTATTCTCCTTTCTGTATTCCTTTGACCTTGGCTTGTTCCTGATTTCTGGCATCCCTGATCTTGGCTCGTTTATTACTCTCTGTCCTTGTGACGTTAGTCCAGCCATTCTAAGGTCCAGTGTATGTTACTATTCCTTTACACTCTGCGTGTAGGATCCCTTAATATTACTGACACATAGCAAATGTATGTTTGCTATCAAAACCCAACAAAGACCATACAGAACCCAAACTCTACAGACCCATATCATTACTGAATGTAGACCTAAACATCATGACTAAAATCATGTCTAACAGGCTTAATCCCTGCCTAGGCACGCTGATCCATCCAGACCAGGTGGGAGTTATCCCCCATAGGCAGGCCTCGACAACACCCGCAGAAACATAGGCCTTATTTGGCTGCCACAACATTGGCAGATGCCAACAGATGTCATATCACTAGATGCCGAAAAAGGCGTTCGACCGTCTGCTATCTTTATCGAACCCTAGAACACTTAGAGTTCCTAAAATAATTTCTCACCTTCCTTCCAGCAGCTTTCCACTCCCGCATGTAACTCTACTACTACCCAACTCTACTACTACCCAACTAGGTAAGTGATTCTAATCTCTCTCACAATCTATTCTTACCCTAACCCTTGGGGTAAGGGTTAAAATAAAGTGTGAAAAAGCACAATTTTGTGATATTCCCCTAATGTGAAATTTCACAAAATATGAACAAGTCCCTAATCCTAACCCTAATTTGAACCCTAACATTAACCCTAAATGTCCCATGTCCTAAGCTTAGTGAATGCACTTACTATAATGAAAGTGTAAAACTAGTTTTGCTTACCTTCCAGGACCTTGCTGTGGAGGAGTAGCAGGAGTGCTAGCACGCATGTGCAGCACAGGATCCAGATGATTACCCACACCGGAAGTGACGAGGGTAGAGGATTTTCACGGGTAGGAAAATTTGATAGAACACCGGCTTCCAGCTCACTGCAAGTTGCGCACAAACTCCTATGTAGTCCATAAGAAATGTTTAATCTCACTGCCTTCCAGTATATATCTGTCCTTGCCTCTTATGTGAAAATGTGTATTTGTGACAGTATGTATGTGCAATGTGTGTGACTGCATATGTAATCTGTGAATTTCAGCTTGTGTGTAATGTGTCTGTGTGACAGTGATGGAACAGTTGTATGTACCTGGATGGGTCGGAATAGATTGGGGTCTTGGACTTCGTGTGTGATATTGCAGGAGGGAATGTGACGACAGGGAGGTATATGTATGTGGGTGCAGTGGTGGAACTACCGCGGTCACAGGGTTCGCAGCTGCAACCGGGCCCGGCTGTCATGCGGTCCCCTGGGAATGGGTTATCTGCCGGCTACGTAATACAGCCCCGGTCCATGCAGTGTAACAGCAGGGGCCGCACATTCAGGAGCCCATCGGGTGGCCCATGCTGTTAGGGCCACAGATATAAATTAATTTCCAGGGGTCCAGGTCAGTGCTGCGGCGCTTTAATAGGGCGACTGGGCCCCCTTTGATGATGTCAGAGCTGGGAGGAACTGACTGCCCCGGTCACTTCCTCCCAGCAATCACTGTGCTGCAAGGGAGGAAGAAGGAGAGGAGGGAGTCAGAGTGACAACCCTCCTGCACCTAAAAGGTAGGAAACAGGAGGGTGACTAAATCATTTTGCATGTGTGTGTTAGTGTATGTGTGTCTGTATGTGTCTCTGTATGTATGTGTGTGTTTTAGTGTATGTGTGTCTATTGGTATGTCTCTGTATGCGTGTGTGTTTGTATGTGTGTGTTTTTGTATGTGTCTCTGTATGTGTGTGTGTCCATGTGTACATGTATGTGTGTGTGTGTGTGTGTGTGTGTGTCTGTATGTATGTGTGCATGTCTCTGTATATGTGTGTTTTTCAATGTGTGTCTGCATGTGTGTAAGAGAGAGTATGGGAGGGGGTAGATGTATGGGGGCCCATGGCAATCTTCGCACCATGGCCCTGTGGTTTCTAGTTACGACTCTGTGTTGGTGAGTATTACTAGCAAGAGGAGGGTATGTGGCAGAGTGGGACAGTGTGGTGGATACTATGACAGCATGTGCCATTGCACACAGAGTATTGAAGGAGGTGACTGCAGATGAGGTAGTGAGTATATTGCCTTATATGTCAGGGGTGGGTGTTATATGTCAGGGGTGGGAACAATGGGATTGGGTCTTATATGGAAGAGAGGGTATTATGTCAAGGCTGGGGTGTATGGCAGGTGGTGTTTTTTGATAGGGTGGGGTTTAAGGCAGGGTGGGTATTATGATAATGTGGTGGGTTATATGGCAGGGAGGGTATTATAGCAGAGTGGGTATTATATGACATGTTGAGGGGTATATGCTAGGGTGCGAATTATGACCAGGTGGTGGATTTATGGCAGGGAGAGTATTAGGACAAAGTGGGGGTGTATATTCAAGGGAGAGTATTATAAAAAGATGGGTTGTATATTCCAAGGGGGGTATTATCACAAGGCGGGAGTGTATATGGCAGGGAGGGTATTATAGCATATACCCCTATGACATGTTGAGGGGTATATGAGAAGGTGGGAATTATGACAAGGTGGTGGATATTATGACAAAGTGGGGTGTATATGCCAGGAAGAGTATTATGACAAGGTGGTGGGGGTGGGGGCGTGAATGGCGGGGAGGGTATTTTAGCAAAGTGGGTATTATCTGACATGTTGAGGGGTATATGCCAGGGTTTAAATTCTGACCAAGTGGTGGATTTATGCCAGGGAGTGTATTATAAAAAGGTGGGTGTTTATATAGCAGGGAGGGTATTATGACAAGGTGCAGATTAGGGATATATGCCAGGGTAGAAATTATGACCAGGTGTTGGATTTATGGCAGGGAGAATATTATGACAAGTTGGTTGTGTATGTGGCAGAGAGGGTATTATGACAAGGTGGGGCTATATATGGCAGGGAGGGTATTATGACATGGTGGGGGTATATATGGCAAGGGGGTTAATATGACAAGGTAGGGATTAGAGTAGGGAGGGTGGGTGGGAATATTATGATTAGGTGGGGATTGAGTATATATGGCAGAGAGGGTGGGTGTATAATGGCAGGAAGGGTGGGGATATATGGCAGCAAAGGGTATTATGACAAAGTGAGGATTGGGAGTATATGGCAGGGAGGGTATTATGAGAGTATAATGGAAGGGAGGGTGAGGGATATATGGCAGGGAGGAGGGGGGTATAATGGCAGGGAGGGTTGGAGATTTATGGGAGAGAGATGTCACAGGGTGGATTTACAAATACCATATAATAGCATTAACTCACCATTTAGGGGGTGCAGGGGCAGCAAGGGGCTGGCTCTCACCATATGGTGGCTGCTCTTTCAGCCTCCAAACATCTGCATCCTTGGGTCAGGCAGTGCAGCAGGTGCAGACAGGGGATCTAGAGAGGTTAACTCGGATCCCCTGCATGTTCAGAGTGGCTGCGGAGGAGCAACCTGGCTCTGTGCCCCCTGCTGGTATACTCCAAAATAAACTCTTTGGTGTGAGTGTGAGTTAGAGCACAGGCTGGGTATCCCCTACTTGTGTTCTGACCCACTAACTGAGCACCGGTCTGCCAGAGCCATGAGGGAGAGGATATTATGTATAAAGCGGCAGGAGGTACAGAGCGTGGTACCTCCCTTCTAAGTGGCACCCGGGGCAGACCACTGCCCTTAGTACTGCCTACACAGACAGGGTGACCAGACATCCCAGTTTTACCGGGATCGTCCTGGTTTTGCCTGCTTGTCCCAGCATCCTGAGAATCTTTTTAGGGATGCATGAATGTCCTTGTTTTGTAGAGCCTTTCCCCATATTGAGGCTGACAGTGGAGATCCTTTCATTTCCCCTGCCAGCTTCATGCAGAGCGGGCCATGCTATTTCCCTTCTCAAGCTGGTGGGGAGATCACGGATCTCCCTCACTGGCCCCAAGGCAGTGTGCTGCTGCAGAGGGAAGAAAGGGTGCTGGGCCTGGGAGGCAACACGCTCCTTCCACAAACAGGCCGGTTGGAGCTTTCCCGCACGTTACCATGGCACTGCGACACTGCAATATACTCGTGGGACAAGGGGCGCAGTCAGCCTGCAGCCAGAGGAGCTGCAGGCTGAACTGTGCATGACCCCACTGGACCACTAGGGATTAAAAACTCTCCCCCTTCCTCCCTGGCCAAAGGTAAGAAGAAGGAAGGCGGGTGGGGGTGTAATATAAATTAGTTATATCAGTTAAAATTACAAAAAGCATTTTAAGATATATAAATATGCTTAATTATCCCCCTACACACACACATACTGAACCCCTACACACACACTATACCCCATCCACACACAACACCCCATCACACACAGAACCCCTTACACAAAAACAGCACCCCTCCACATACAACACCCCTTCCTTGCACACAGAACCCCTCCACACACTGAATACCTACACACATTACACCCTCCACAGACACACACACAATAAACCCCTACAAACACTACACTCTCCACACACACACGCAGCACCCCTTCCTCAAACACACATGCAGCACCCCACACACACCCACAGCACCCCCCCACACACACAAACACACCTCACTGCAGTCTGTGTGTGTGGGGGTGCTGTGGGTGTGTGTGGGGTGCTGCATGTGTGATTCAGGAGGGGGTGCTGCGTGTGTGTGTGGAGAGTGTAGTGTTTGTAGGGGTTTATTGTGTGTGTGTGTGTGTGTGTGTCTGTGGAGGGTGTAATGTGTGTATGTATTCAGTGTGTCGGGGGGTTCTGTGTGCGAGGAAGGGGTGTTGTGTGTGTGTGTGTGTGTGTGTGTGTGGAGGGGACCTCCAAGGGAAATAAATATAAAAGAAACAAATTCAAACCAATGTGGCTTAGTAGAGAAGTAAAACAAGAGATTACAACTAAGAAAAGGGCATTTAAAGCATTTAAATCGGACAAATCAGATGCATCTTATAAAAGATATAAGGAAGCAAATAATGCATGCAAAAAGGCAATTAGACTTGCTAAACTTCAAAATGAAATAATGATAGCTAAAGAGAGCAAAACCAACCCCAAAGCATTTTTTAAGTACATAAATTCTAAAAAAAAAAAAAATGAAAGTGTAGCTACACTAAAAACTGAAACGAGGGTGTTAGTTAATGAAGACCAGGAAAAGGCAGGAATTTTAAATAACTATTTCTCCTCCGTATCTATTAAGGAAGAACCCATGGCAATAGATGTGCAAATGATTGCAACTAAAAACTTGCAGAATAATTGTAATTGGTTAAATCAAGACAAGGTGCTGCAGCAACTAAAGAAAGTTAATATAAACAAAGCTCCAGGGCCTGACGGTATCCATCCACGTGTAACTAAGGAACTAAGTGTAGAAATAAGTGAACCTCTGTATTTAATCTTTTCAAGATTCTTTTTTTTCAGGAAGTGTTCCGGAGGATTGGAGGAAGGCAGATGTGGTTCCTATATTCAAAAAGGGTTCAAAATCCTTGCCTGGAAATTATAGACCTGTGAGCTTAACTTCTGTGGCTGGTAAAATATTTGAAAGTTTATTAAGGGATAATATTCAAGAATTCCTTGAGAAGAACATGGTTATCAGCAAAATCAGCACGGTTTTATGAAGCACAGGTCATGTCAAACTAACTTGATTGCGTTCTACGAAGAAGTAAGTAGAAGTATAGGTCAGGGTGTTGCCGTGGATGTGATCTATTTGGATTTTCCCAAGGCATTTGATACAGTTTCATACAATAGATTAGTGTTCAAACTCAAGGAAATCGGTCTAGATGAAAATGCTTGTTCTTGGGTAGAACATTGGCTTAAAAACAGAGTACAAAGAGTTGTCATTAATGGTACATTTTCAAGCTGGACAGAGGTGGCAAGTGGTGTCCCTTAGGGGTCTGTTCTGGGACCCCTTCTATTTAACATGTTTATAAATGATCTTGAAGACAGCATTGAAAGTCATGTTTCAGTGTTTGCAGATGACACAAAACTTTGTAAAACAATACAATGTGAGCAAGATATTACTTTGCTGCAGAGGGATTTAGATAGATTGGGGGACTGGGCACTCAAATGGCAGATGAAATTTAATGTTGAAAATTGCAAAGTTATGCACTTCGGCGTAAAGAATACACATGCAACGTATACCCTTAATGGAAGCGAATTAGGGATAATAACACACGAAAAGGACTTGGGAATTGTTATAGACAACAAACTATGCAACAATGTGCAATGTCAATCAGCAGTGGCCAAGGCCAGTAAGGTCCTGCATGAAAAAGGGCATTCATTCTCGGGACAAGAATATCATTTTGTCTCTTTATAAATCATTGGTAAGACCCCATATTGAATATGCTGTGCAATTTTGGGCACCTGTTCTAAAGAAGGATATTATGGCACTAGAAAAAGTGCAGAGGCGGGCTACAAAATTAATAAAAGGAATGGAACATATCGGCTATGAAGAAAGGTTAACAAATTTAAACCTATTTAGTTTAGAAAAACGTCGCCTGAGAGGGGATATGATAACATTATACAAATATATTCGAGGCCAATACAAACCATTGTGTGGAAATCTATTCACAAACCGGACTTTACATAGGACACGAGGCCATGAGTTTAGACTGGAAGAAAGAAGATTTCGTCTAAGGCAAAGGAAAGGTTTTTTTACTGTAAGAACAATCAGGATGTGGAATTCTCTGCCTGAGGAAGTGGTTTTATCAGAGTCCATACAGATGTTCAAACGGCTACTAGATGCATACTTGCAAGAACAGAATATTCAAGGATATAATCTTTCAATGTAGGGTAATAACTGCTTGATCCAAGGATAAATCTGACTGCCATTCTGGGGTCAAGAAGGAATTTTTTTCCTAGCTTGTTGCAAAATTGTGTTTCAAACTGTTTTTTTTTTTTGCCTTCTTTTGGATCAACAGCAAAAAACTAATGTGAGGTAGGCTGAACTTGATGGACGCAAGTCTCTTTTCAGCTATGTAACTATGTAACTATGTAACTGTGTGTATTCAACAGTCTGTGCGTGTTCATAATTCTGTATTCAGCATTATGTATGTAGTCAGCAGCCTGTGTGTGTTTATTAAGCAGTTTGTCTGTGTGTATTTAGCAGCGTATGTGTGTGTATTCAGTGGTCTGTGTGTGTATTCAGCAGTCTGTCTGTGTGTTTAGCAGTCTGTATGTATTCAGTAGTCTGTGTGTATTCAAATCTTAATACATACAAGGCGGAGTTTCTTGCTTAATCTATAAACAGATCTTGGATGTGTTTCATCCTACAATGAAAATACAGAAAAGCAAACAATAGTGCAATATTGTCTGAGCATATACATATATGATAAGGAGTGGGTGAAATAGCACTCACAAGCTTTGTGGGATATCAAGGTTCCCACTTCCTTCTTTATGTGTGGTTGTGATTTCTGGTGATAAATTCTCTTTCCAGATGAAGGTGCAGTTTTAAAGTGCTTTATTTACTATAAAGTGCACACAAAACAATAAAATGATAATTTTAAAATCAAAACCTTACAGAGTCCTTTTGTGGATATCTGTAAGTCCTGTGCAAAACGCGTTTCGCCTCTTAAAGAGGTTTCCTCAGTTGCTGCTGATCTTTCCTGTGTGAAAATCTTCTTTTACATGCTCCATTATTGGCGTTTTTTGCGATGGCGTCTATGCGCGATTTACTTCCGGTTTCCGGGTTTGCGTTACACCCGTTGAACGCATTCACTTCTGGTTTCTGTCTTCATTGGAATGTCTGTTTGTGTTTCATTGTGGTCTTTTTCTTCCAATTCCCATTTGTTGCAGTATATATTTGAGTCCATTAATGCAAGTCCATACAGAAATCAGAGCAATAAGAAAACTTAAATGGAATATACTTATGTCAGTGCAATATTTTGCAGGTTTAGTTATCTATATGTATACACTAAAATTCAATAAAAGTTCCACATAATAAATAATATTCTACTGTTAATTAAAAAAAGAGTATTAAGACTTAGTGTCTGGAAGAGAGATGTGCTTCACAATAATTCTGTGGTATTTCAAAGTTTTAAGTTTTAAGTTCATTTGGAATAAGAAGGAAGTATGTGGTTCCTTGTTGTAATGTTTTTCATGGGTCATTATTATATATGTACATACAAATTTATGTTTTATTAGAGATCATACAAATAAATATAATGGTCCAAAAATGCATTAATAATAAATCATAGGTAGGGGATGGTTGGATAAAAAATATATAAATATTTTTAAAATGGGTGGTTATAAAATACATTATATTTAATCCTTTTAAAATTCTCTGTATGGGATCTTTTCAAAAAAGGGGTTTGAAAATGTATCTATTTAAAAATGACAAACTTCAAAATCGGAATGGAGACCGTGTGGGATTAGAGTTTTAAAATTATAAATAAACTTCATTTCTTCCTTACCCAATTTTCTGATTGTAGTTTCCTCCCCTCCAATGCCTTTTTTTTTCTAAATTCTTTTTTTTGAGAGTTAGTTTTGTTGGGGTAAGGGTACAGAAAAAAACAAAGGGATAAGGTAAGTGGTACAGATTACGTTGAGTGTACAGTTTCAGTTTATAATAATCAGATATTCAGAGCAGGTATATAGTTTTTGTGACAGACCCATCTGTATGAACTAGAAAGTTACTACCTCGGGAAGTGAGTTATGCGGCAGTGGAGAAGGAGTGTTTAGCCCTGGTCTGGGCACTGAAGAAGTTGAGCCCTTATTTGTACGGGCAGGAGTTTTCCCTTATAACAGACCACAACCCCCTTGTCTGGCTTAACCGGGTCTCAGGAGACAATGGCAGACTGCTGAGGTGGAGTTTGGCACTGCAGCCTTACAACTTCACCATCAGCTACCGACCCGGTAAGCAGAATGGGAATGCGGATGGGTTATCCCGGCAAACAGACGTCCCTACTTCTTCCTAGTCCGGTCATCCCCAAGTTGACCCGCCAAAGGGGGGAGCCGTGTGACAGACCCATCCGTATGAACTAGAATTGCTGTGTTCGTCTGTTTTGCTGCTTGTATGAATTTCCCCATTCGTATGCCTTGTTTAAGGGAATGTAATTTTTTTGTCGAACGGAACTACCGAACGGACGGCCACACAGAAGAGAAGTGTGCTGCTGGTTAACCTATTGATCCCAATTAGAACGTTGTGGTTAACCACAGACACTTCTCAATTAAAACCGAATACAGGGTGGTCGTCATTCATATGTCGACCACGAGGCGGCAGCCATTTTAACTATGCGAAAGCCCAGCGGTGTTCAACGATTATTTTATGGAACTAAAAACGGACACGTTTTCAACCGAACACCACTGAAGCCGTCGACCTCCCCTTCTCAATCAACAAAAGTATGCGAATACCGGCCGTTCAAGAGGTTTAAAGGCACGAATGGACTTACCCCAGATAGCCTTCCCATGGAGTCAATCGCATACCGAAGAACTGTAATAGACTTTGACTCCATGGCGATTGAACTATGCTTATGGGCAGGGCCGGTGCTAGGATTTTTGACTACACAGGCGAAGATGCATTTTGACGCCCCCCCCCCAAAAAAATAAACAATGCATCTTCACCTCTGTGTCTCGTAGCCCCCTTTTGAATTTCTTAGTGTTGCATATCCACTCTCTTGAATGTCTTACCCATTTGGCCCCTTTGTG